GAGAGCAGCTGCAGGTCTTTTTCTATGCTGCTGCCCTGGTCACAACGACGTGTCAGGGAATGAGGGGAAATTAGGGATGAGGGGTGGAGAGAATGTGACACGCATGGCGTTAAAGGACTGTTATGTGGGGTCATGATGTGAGACCGGGATTGGGGCATTCACTCCATCTTCCTTCACAACTGCAACACTCATTCTCCCCTCCTGTCCTCCCCCCGTCTCTCCCCTTCCCCTCCCTCTCTCCCCTTTCCCTCCCCCAACCCCTACCCCCCCACGGCGCAGCACGCACATGCAGGGAGTCGAGGACGTAGGAGCAGTTGACAGCAGCTTGGATGGTGGCGAGGGAGTCGTTGAGTGCGGCAACGCCCTCGCTGAGCGCTGAGACGTCCTCCACCACATGCGGTGACATGCCGCTGCTGGCGGGGCTGTACAGACTCTGATGGGGGGTCGTGCAGGGAAGGGAGACGCAAGGGAGGGACGAGAGAACGGCGGCGGCGTGGGGGGAGAAGAAGAAGGAGGCGACGGCAGCGTGAGAGGGAGCATGGAAATTACTAACGGGCAGTGCTCTCGCACATGCAGAAGAGAAGGTGTGATTCTGAAGAGGGGCACTGGGAAGGGGGGGTTGGGAGGGCTGAGCGAGACACATGATGCGGTGCAACTCACAAGTGCATTCACATGCGCACGGACGTTACAAAGCAACGGGTCAGGCGCAGCAAGCAACAGCACAGCGGGAAGAGCAGAGTGGGATGATACGGACGGGCACAAGCTGGGAAGAAAGAAGAAACGTACATTAGCGAAGGTCTGCAGGGAATGGCGTTGCGGGGCAGGGGGTGGGAGTGTAGGAGGGGGCAGGGCCGTACGGCACACAGACAGCGCTGTAGGGGCCTCCTGGCATCTGCTGCAGCACCTGGTGGGCAGGAGGGCCATGGAGACAGGGTGGTTGCAGTAGATAGTCAGAGGGTAGTGAGGGCAGGGTGGTGAGGGCAGGGTGGTGAGAGCAGGGTGGTGAGAGCAGAGTGGTGAGGCAGGGTGGAGAGAGCAGGGTGGAGAGGGTGGTGCATGGTGAGCAGATCGTCAGAGGGCGGGGAAACACGTGTGGCAGGAGCAGGGTGGTGGCTCACTCGCACTGGCACAAACACTTCCCATTCTTTCCCTCCGGCCGCAACCCGCACAAGCACTACCTGGGGTATTGCGCGGCAACGGTGTTGTTGATGAGGCTGCAGGCCTGGGCGGAGGAGGCGTGCACGGCGTTACGGATGGAGGCAAGGCTGTGCGTGGCGGAGCAGGGCAGCGATGGCAGCACCCGCTGCTGCAGGCCCACATCATGAAAACACCTCATCCGCTGCCACTGCTGTGTCGCCCTCCAGTCTGGGGGAAGGGGAACGGGGTTGGGTTTTGGGAGAGGATTGGGGAGAGGGTTGAAAGGAGGGTTGGGAGAGGGTTGGAGGGAGGGTTGGGGAGAGGGTTGGGGAGGGTTGGGAGGGGGGGTTGGTTGAAGGGCTGAGGGAGAGGGGGAGTGTATGTAACGATACGAAGAGGCTATGGCGTTGAGGGAAGCCAGCTGCGCTGTGTATCAGGCGCACAGCACTGGCTGTAACTCGCATGCACGCGAGATTGAGGGGGTGCACACGCGCATCACACATACAGCGATGAGCGCTATGATAGGTGGTGGTGGCAATAGACGCACATGGCGGAGAGTAGGAAGACGGAGGTGAGGCACCAGGTGAACACAACCACTGCCCAGATGACGGTGATCAGGCTGAGGGGGGAGGGGGAGAGATGGAGGGAGCGAGGGAGAGAGGGTTAGTGGGCGAGAGAAAAGGAGGAGGGGGAGAGAAGGGAGGTGATAGAGGGGATGTGAGGGAGGTGGGAGAGAGAGACGGGGGGAGGGAAAGGGAGATGTGGGAGGGGGGTTTTTTAAGGGGAACCAAGATAAGGGCGGAGAACAGGGAGCACAGCAAAGGAGGGACGGAATTATGAAAGGTGGATTCATTGGGGCGGCAGAACAAGGCGCAAGCAGAGGGGCAGCAGGGTAGCATGTGTGCACTAGAACAGGGATCGTCGACGTGAGCATGTGCACCTGTGCATGTGCATGTGCATGTTTGCATGTGCCTGCATGCATGAAGGCATGTGCATGCATCCTTACATGTTGGACGCAATGACCAGCTTGAGAAAGGCAAATACTGGAGGAAGGACGCATGGGCAGAGGAAGAAAAAAGGTGCGGGAGGCCGTTTGATGCATTGCAAGGAACGGTGCAGGTGGGAAAAGTACGGCACAGGGGAGGAGTAAGATGAAGAGGGAATAGGGATGGAGAGGTGAAGAGAGAGGAAGTGGAAAAGAGAGGAGCAGACAGAGGAATAGCAAAACCACCCGAAAGAGCAGCAAGGGGGCAGCAAAGGGGCAGCAGGGGAAGCAAAGGGGGCACCCGAGGGGCAGCAGAGGGGCAGCAAAGGGGCAGCAGAGGGGGCAGCAGAGGGGGCCGCAATGAGGTCAGCAGAGCAAGCAGCCGAAATGGGAGGGGCTTGGCATCGACTTAAAGCAGACCATGGTTGCCATTGGTGCAGCAGGTGGGAATGCGTGCGATGGTGACCCAGGCACTCACCCACGCCCACCAAGCAGAGGGCCGTGATGACCGCTCCATGGCGAACAGACTCATGAACCTGGGGCCAGGGAGCATGGGGGGAAGGGCATGGGGAAAGGAGCATGGGGGAAGGGCATGGGGGAAAGGGACATGGGGCGAGGGGGCATGGGGGAAAGGGGACATGAAGCAAGGGGGTAAAGGAGGCAGGGAGGACACGGCTGACCGAAAGCTACACATGAGCTGGACTGTGCACACCAACACCCTACAACCCCACCCCTTCTTCCCCAACAACCCCCCTCCACCTCTCCCTCCCCCGTCACTTGCACCTGGTTCCCCACCCCCCCTACCATCCCCCCACCCCCCTTTCTCCCCCCGCCCAAACAACACCCCCCCCACCTCCCCCCTCCCTCCCCCTCTGTGTGGTGTGCTTGGTGTGGCACTGACATGTACTTGAGCGCGCGGTCCGCGGCGTCCCTGTCCCAGTGAACGAGCTCTCCATGCCCTGCGCCGTGCTCCACGCCTTCAGCGCATGCTGCCACACCTCGCCCCGCGCTGGGAATGGCGGAAAGAGAGGGAGGAGCAGGGAGGGAGGGAGGGAGGAGGGAGGGAGAGGGAGAGGAGGGAGGAGGGAGGGAGGAGGAGGGAGGGAGGAGGGAGGAGAGGGAGGGAGGGGGTTAGGAGAGCGGGTGAGAGCAATAACAAGAAGAGGCGGGAAACATGGCGTGAAAGGAATGACCTTCGTGTCTGTACCCGTCCTCCCGTTGGTGCTGCTTGGTGGTGCGGCCATACCAGCACTGGGCATCTTGGTGCCCCACGTCCACGTCCACGAGCCCCGCCATGGCCTGGGACACGTTGTACGCCGTGCCCACCACCTCGGTGAGCCGCGCCACTGCATGGTCGCGCACTGCGCCCACGTTCTTCTGCAGCAGGATGCCCCCGCCAGCATCACCGCGAACCCGCCACTGCAGGGGCAGAAAGGGTCGGAGCACAAGGTAGGGGCACGCAGGGGAGGAACGGGGGAAGTGGCAAGGCGGATGGGGGCGAGGGTGAGGACGCAGGGAGTGGCCGAAAGAGGAATTGGGTGCTCAAGCAGAAGGGAATCTCAAAAGCCTAATTTTGAGACTCTCATAAGCTCCAGCTGCCGACGCAAGTAACCAAGCTGTTGGGCACTGCAGCAGGTGTTGGTGCAGTCGCTGTCAGAGCAACGAAACTACAGTATTGCGAATCCCTACACCCCCAACCCCGAACTGCGCTCCCCGCTCACAGCAGGACGACAGTGCCGATAACGAGGCAATGCGCGGCAGGGTGAGGTGGCGGCGCGAGTAGGGGCAGTGGTCGGGGTCTCTCACGGCGCGCCCAGCGGCGCGGGCAGCAGCAGCAGCACAGGCACGACGCGCCGATGAAGCCCAGCCCCAGCAGCAGCCACAGCACCGCTATCAGCGGCCCGAAACTGGCCCGTGAACGACACGGACTGGGGGGGCGGGGAACGAGGACGGGAGGAGGGGAGGAGAGAGGGGGGGAGGAGAGGACACAGAGGGGAGGGGAGAACGAAGAGGCAGGAGAGGGAGAAACGGGATGAGAGTAAGGACAGGGGAGGGTGGTTGTGAAGAGGAACAGGGGAGGCGGAGAGTTGAAGCGAAGAGGAAGTGAAGAGAGGAGGGAGGAAGGGGAGGGGGGCATGACATGCATGTGGACGTTTTAGCACTGGCGGTGAGAGGAAAGGTGTGTCGGATATGGGGGGGGCGGGAGACAGGCGGGAGGCGAGAGAGAGGGGGGTGAGAGGGGGTGGGCGCGGACGTATGGGGGAAGGGGAGAGAGAGTTGGGGGGAAGGGCGAGGAGGGAGTGGGGCGGGGAAGAAAAGAAGTCACGTGAGCGGCGTAGACGAGTCGTGAGGCGGTTTATAAGGCGTATGGGAGACGCACGGCCCAGTAGTGCAGGTTGGAGGGGTCGTAGCCGCCCTCGTACTCGCGCATCCCGTTCAGCGGGTCCCTGCGACGCGTGCGATTCGCCGCCAGCACGTACTGTCCAGCGACAGCTTCCAACCCGCGACTTGAACGCCCAGTCGCCTGCGACGTCGCAGCGTGCCAGCGCATCGTCACTGGCGCGTGTCGCCGGGGCTCGCAGCGGTGGCGACTGTCAGTCGCCACAGTAGCGCTCCGCAAGGGGCGGCTTGCGCGACGGCGAGGGGGGCGGGCGGAAGCTTTTGCCTGGGCGGAGGGAAGGCGGGAGGTGAAGGCTCCGCGGGAGGTGCAGCGAGAGGGAAGGCGCAGAAGAGAAAGAGCGCGGAGACGGGGAGCAGCGCCCTGAATGCGCGCCGGCGATGAGGGCGGGTGGTCACGACGACGAGCGCCATGCGGAGATGGGCAGCGGAGGGGTGCTGGTGGCTCCAATGCGTGAATGCAAGCGGCTCGTCATCATCCTTCCGGCTGGCTGCTTATCATGGCGACGACTCTGGCGATTCTGCGACTTCGCGCGACGAAACGACGACTGCCACTAGCAGTAGCGGTGGCTCGCGCGTCAACGTACTCTGCGTCCGAGTGAGGCCCTAATTATGAGTCGCGCGGGACAATAGTAGTACTACTACTACCGTTTGTAAGCCTGCGTCGGTTGGGCGTACGGCGCGGAAGGTCTGCTTTTAAAGGCTGGAGTTTTTTCGTATTCTCGCAGATTCTAAGAGTCTTACACGACTGCGGTGGCGCGGCTGTAAATGTGTCAGCGGATTCGCGAAACGGCGGGTTTGAGAGCGCGGCGGTACTTATCGATTGCTTGGAACGCCTTGGGAAACACCTACGGCGGTCGGCATAAGGGGTTTCGATTCTATGAGCAGCTGTCGCTCGCTCGCAGTGGATTTCAGCGCCCTGCGACGAGGCAACCCCACGCCCGGTGAGGGTGATGGTGGAGGGAGAGGAGAGTGAGTCTGTCTGATACAGTAGAGCAGAGCAGGAGGTGCGCCGAGGTGACTCGTGGCAGCAGCGCATGGAGCAGCGCAGAACGCCATGATGTGGAGTGCGGAGGAGCTACGGGGAATTCTCTACCAAGCGAGCTTGCTCTGCTCTGGTGCTTGCTGGTCGTCGTCGTCGTCTTGAGAAGCCATGGTCCGTTCGCCCGCGCCATGGCGAGGCAACGAGGCGATGGTATGGCGTTGAGGGTCGTGTGACTGCGGACGACTGAGCACAAACCTATCACAGTGACGACGGGTGTCTTGCTGGCAGGCGAACAAGAAAGAAAGCCAGCAAGATGCTGCATCCTCTCCGCACATCCATTGCGCCCTCTGCGCTCTCTCCGTGAGGTGGCCTGGCCAGTGGCTAGTGGTGCGCAGGGGTAGAGGCCAGGCCAGCGAGGCTAGTTCGGGGGAGGGGACGAAAGGGAAGAGCTCGGAAGAAAGCGGGGGGAGCGCGCGCTGCCGAAAAGCGCCCAATGGTCGTGAATGGTACTTTCCCGGCGGAATTGCGCGGCTCTGCGAGACCGCGTCCTCAATTAACATTTTCTACCCGTTTTGCTCACGGCCCGGGCAACCCCGATCTCGGATAAACATTTTCTACGCGCGAGTCGGGAAATGCGTTTTTGATTACGTGAGGTCTTTTGGGCAGCTTCGACCGTTTTTCGCCTTCCGCGTTTCTAACAGTTGAGAGTTGTAAAGGACCTGGCGGGGAGGTTGTCGCCTGTCTGTATCGATTCCGCTGAAACAAGACGTACATTTCTGCACATGGATTCAAAGGCCATTTGGCAGGATGCAGTGTTCGTCACTTGGTTCAAATTCTAGACGGTACATGATGACGTAGCTGTACATTTATGGTAGTGGCGCGAATTGAGGTTACGGTGCATGTGTTCTCGTGAGTTCTCATGGTGGTGCACAAACTCTCATGTTTCCCTTGCCCGAAATGATGGCCCGAAATTATGACAGGGCTGTCAAAGTTCGCGTGGAGTTTAGCTAGTGGCGGAAGTTGAGCTTTGGGGCATGAGTCTTCAGGAGAATCCATGAACTATCGTGTTTTCTCGCGTAAATCTCGTTTGCATCTGCCCAGATTCCACAGTGCCACGCCAGCGCCCTTCTGAGTAGGAATCGTATCTCCCCCTTGCAACACTGTTGAAGTGTGGCGGTACTGTTACGGATGACTGTCCAGTTGGCTGGTAATTCACGGGCAATCACTAAATCCCAAATACAGTTCACACAATTTCAAATTCCGTAACTTTCGCATTTCCGACTCGCGTGCAGAAAATATTTATCCGAGATCGGGGTTGCCCGGGCCGTGAGCAAAACGGGTAGAAAATGTTAATTGAGGACGCGGTTTCGCGGAGCCGCGCAATTCCGCCTACTTTCCCCCCCATGGGCAGAGTGGGTGAGGGGGGTGATGTGGGCGCAAATCCGCCACCGAGTAGGACTTTCCGCGGCTTCAACAGGGTCAACACGAATCGTACAAGGAAAATCAAACGGGTACAGTAGTATGGAATGTTATATACTGTATGGTAAAACACATGAAATTCAATCGGTTGTAAACAAGGGTTTTAATCCACATATATTTTATATACACTTCTCCATTAGAATCAAACAAAATGCAAACAAGTAATAAGCAGGTGTTGGGCTGAGAAAAGCCCTTAGGATCTTTCCAGAGACTAAGTCCCAGTTGTAGAATGAGACTTGAGTAGTGCAGCGGAAGTTGAGTGAACCCTTGTACTAGTATATGAGAACAAGTGATTGATTAAAGAAACAAGCATACAGCAATATATAGAAGAAAGAAAGCAGTTGTAGAATACAGTTGACAGGAGCGGTTATCGAGTCGCACAGCGACTCGATTGTCGCTTCGGTTACCATCCGCGATGTTGTAACGGTCAGTCGCAACCTCCAGTTGCGACCTTTCGAGTCCTTCGCGTTCTTTGTCCGCCCCCTCGTGTAACCTCCGTTGACTCGCGTACGTTGCGATCTTCCTCGAGTGTAGTGTTACACTTCAGAAACGCTTAAGTCCTTTGAGATATTTCCAACACTCCCCTTCGTTTCTGGAGTGCTGACGTGTTCAGATCCGGTGACGTTTTCTGCCCGGTCAGCATGCAGTAATCGAATTTTGCTTCGCCAATTTCTTCGTCAGATAGTCTGCGGCCATTTCTGTCGTAGGGCAGTAACTGAGTTGAAGTCTCCCCTTCGCGATTTCATCCTTGACGAAGAAGTACCGCAGGGCGATGTTTGGTTCGGTTGGCGAAGCCGTCCTTGTTCGCGATTTTGATCGCAGATTGGTTGTCGCAGAGGAGTGAGAAGACGGGCAGGGTCGCAATCTTCGCTTCCTCGAGTAACTCTCGTAGGTAGAGTCCTTCCTTGGTCGCAGTACAGAGGGCGATATATTCTGCTTCAGCCGAAGATAGTGCGATTAGTTCCTGCTTGCTCGACTGCCAGGAGATAGTCCGATAGGTTCTAGTCGGTAGATGTAGCCCGTCTCGATCGTCGATTTTCCTGTCTCCCGCGTGGTCGGCGTCGACGTATCCGAGTAGTCGTACGGACGGTGTGTTACTTTGCTGTAGGTAAGCCCGTCGTCGGCGTGGAGACGAAGTAGAGTAGTGCCCGATTGAGTTCCTCGAGATCTTCTTGTTCCGGCTGCTTCAGATGCGTCGCCAGTTGCTCGCGCTGTAAGAGGTCGGGTCGGCAGGTTACTGCTGCGAATAGTAGGCAGCCGAGCTTCTGTTGATACTCCTGGATTTGCTTCGCGGGGAGTTTTGCGGAGGTGCTGTTGTTCCCGTAGCGGTAGGGAGTGGGACCGTAGTCGGCGTTAGACCGAATTTCTTCGCGACAGTGCCTGCGTACTTTCCAGCGTGTAGGTAGAACGCCGAGTTGTCTTCGACGACATTCAGTCCAGGTACTGGGTCACTGTCGGACACCGTGAGTGTCAAGTCCTCTTTCAGCTCCCCTTCGAACCAGGTGGCGATGTCGGTAGTGGACCGATGTAGAGCAGGTCGTCGACGTAACGATGAGTAGGATATACTCTTTCCCTTCTGCAGTCGGTACATGCCTTGGTCATGCGGCAGCTGTAGGAATCCGATTTTTACGAGGCGACCGTGAAGATGCTGCTGCCAGAGCCGGGGGCTTGCTTGATCCCGTATAGGGATTTTATCAGCTGGCATACTTTCGTGGGGTCGTCGATGAATCCGTGGGGTTGCTCGACGAAGATCTCAGCGTCCACAGGTGCGTACAGGAAGCATTTGCGACGTCGATTTGGCGCAGTGGTAGTTTCTTCGTGGCCGCGACGGCGAGTAGGATGCGCAATGAGGTGTGACGGGAGACTGGGCGAAGGTTTCTGTGTAGTCGGTTCCGTATCGTTGATCGAAGCCTCGTACGACCCATCGAGCTTTGAATCGTTCGATGGAGCCGTCCGCATTGGTCTTGATGCGGTACACCCATTTCCCGAGAGGACGTTCTTCCCGTTGATGCTTGTTGCAGGTACCAGCTTCCATGTATTTCGGTCTTGCAGAGCTTTAACTCCTTTTCCATCGCTCCTTCCATTTGCCTTATGTTCCCCCCCAGAGCCTGCGACAGAGTCGAGGGCTCGCGCGGAGAGGCGGCGGCGGATGCTGGACGGAGACCCATAGGCCGAGATCTGCAGTCCCGTGGGTGTGTGTCGAGGGGAATTTTCATTCCCGGAATAGCTGCTTCGTCACCGTCTTCTGGATCAGGTAAGAAGTTGGGCCGATGCGTTCTGAAACATTCGTGTCGACGGGTGGTGTAACGTAACCTTGGTCAGCGAAGTGGTAAAAGGTGTCGAGGTTGTTGCTATCGAGAGGATTGTCTTCGTCGAGTGGAACAGGTACGGAACAGAAGGGAGTGGTCCGGCAGCTTCCGAGGCTCCAGGTACGTCTTCTTCTGCTGCGTCAGCCTCGGCAGCACGGTCGGCGAAGGAACGAAGGCCCGCGAAGCCGTCGGTGGGGTCTGTGTTGGCAATGTTGTCCAGGTAATGCTGCAGCGTCAGTCGCTCGTAGAAGATAACATCACGTGATGCCACGTATTTTTGTCTTGTATGTCGAGGATTTTCCATGCGTGAAAATGTTTTGCGATGCCGAGGTGTAGTCCCCACCGAGCTCGTTGAGTGAAGCGTCCTGCTCGGCTGTGTGGGGTCTGTACTGTACCATGCAGCCGAAAACTCGAAGTAATTTTGTGCTGCCCCTTTTTCGTGTCCACAGCAGGTGCGGTGATGCGTTGTTGGGAAGCGATGACGAGGACAACAGGTTGTGCAGGTGGACTGCATGTGTCATCGCGTCTGGCCACAGTGTGGGGCAGTCTCATCCCCAGGAGCAGCTTTCGCATCGTCGTCTGCAAGGTCCGGTTCATGCGTTCTGCGACCCCCTGCTGCTGGTGAGCGTAGGGCAGAGACACCAGGCGTCTGATTCCTCTTTCCGCCAGATAGGTCCTGAAGCGTTGTGACTGGTATTCCAGTGCACCGTCTGACTGGAAGCTCTTGAGCTTGGTTCCTGATTCTCGTTCGGCGATGGGAGCCATGTGTGAAGGCGTCGAAGGCTTGATCGCGCGTCTTGAGGTTGTAGTGCCAGACGTATCTTGTTGCTGCGTCGATGAACGTGATGACATAGTTGAAGTCGGCTTCGTGTCTTCTCGAGGCATGTTTAAAATGTCGCTGTAGACTTTTTCCATCGGTGCGTATGCAGGTGCGCTTGGGTTGTGATGAGATGGGAAAAGGTGGGGAAGATCTGCTTCGGGGCACGTGAAGCACCGTGCGCGTGGTCGTCGAAGTTCTTGGCCGCTCGTTGTTAGAGGGCGTTGCGTTCTAACACTTCGGCTTGGATGTTTGAGTATTGTACTGTTTGCAGGTGCCCGAGCGTTGGTGCCAGATGTCGTCGGGAGCGCGATGGCCGGGCGAGCGGTGGTATATGTCGGTGTTGGAGAAGAACGCGACGACTGGGCGGGACTTCGACAACTTCTCGTGTGATGGGCATAAGTTGATCTGCTTCGGTTGGCGGTCCTCGGATCGCTGGTGGTGGTACTCGGCTGGGTCCTGCTGCTGCTACTGCAGGTGATGGTTGGGAAGGGACACTTGCTGGTACTTGTCTTTCTTGTCTGATGACTGCTAATGCTCGTGTTCTTCTGCTGCAGGTATGGTGTTGGAGTGCCAGAATCCATGTCGAAGTCGGGTCAAGATCCGGCGGGTGTGTCCAGGCGGCGAACGACACGATCCGTCGCTGTCGGCAGTACCGCGGTCGGGGACGAAGTCCAACACGAAGACGCCGGACTTCAGGAGGCACGACCGATGAAGACCGCCCTTCCCGTGGTAAAGCGAAACTCGTTGGAGTAGGAGTCGCACTCCAGGTGAATCCCTTTGCCATTAGCTGGCTTACGCTTAGTAGTTGTATCCCAAGTTGTCGACGATGAGGACCTTGTTGAGTTGAAGTATAACGTTTGTCTCCATGGATTGTAACTGAACCACGCCTTGTCTGTTTGTTTTCAGGTTTTCGTTGTTGGCGACGGTGATGATGACGTCGCGGTTGAGGCGTCGCTCTCGTTGCACGAAGCGTCCGGAAGACACATGTGTTGACCGCAGCAGCTGTCCAAGAACCAGGTGTTTCGCCCGGTGGGTTCGGCGTTGGCGACCGCAGCGTATGTCGGGTTGACCTGAAGTCCTTGTGAGCGCGGCGGCGGAAGTTCTTCTTCGTCTGGTGCGTAAGTGGGTGGTGATCCGGGTGCGCAGTTGTCGATGTGTACCATGCAGTTAATGATGTTGGTGTCCTTGTGCAGATGGAAGAGCCGCCTTGGAGGGCTTTCTTGAGTGGAGGCGACGTGTGGGTCTACTGGATGATAAACACGAGGACGTGTGCAGTTGACCTTGGAATGTCCGGAAGTCTGACAGTTGTGACAGAACGGTGGCACGAAGGTGAGTCCTCTGTTTCTCGCGTTGATCTTGTTTGCCGCGTCGATTGTAGTTGTTGTCGTTCCTTCGTTGGAGTGTAGAAAACTAACTGCTGCTGCTTCCTTGGTTGTCTTTCTTCGAACAGGTCCATCTCCTGTTGTTTAGCGGTGAAGCTCGGCGCAGAGGTGCATCTCCGATATCCTTCCCGTGGGCGCGAAGAAGCGAGCGTGTGGTTCTCCATTCTGGCCCGAGCCCGGCGAGGACAAGCGTCACGAAGCTTTCTTCAGTGATTGTTCCCTCCGCACCGAAGCAAGCGGTCGCGGAGGGTCTGGCAGCGACTCATATACTGCATCGCCTTTTCCCCGGTCTTCATCTGTATTGTTGTCAGTTGTTGCATGAGTCTGCTTTGTGTCACGCTGTCGTTTGCTTGATAGAGACACTTGAGATGATGCCATGCGAGTTCCGCGGAGTTTCCATAGCTGCGATATGTTCTGATGCTTCTGCTGTTCTTGTGGTGACAGGTTCCGCAGGAGAACTGTGTACGCCAGCAGCGACTGATAAGTAAATATCTCTTGCTCCTTTGCAGTGCCGTTGCTTGGGAATGGCAGGGACCCGTTGAAGTATCCCAAGAGATGCGCAGCCTCCATCAGCAGCTCGAACTCAAAGCTCCAGGTAAAGAAATCGTGTCCGTTGAATGGTGAGGATGTCTGCAGTTTAATCACGTGTGAAAACTGCGCCTGGAGACTTAAAATCTCGTTTGGTGTTTGTTGTGATGCAGCTGCTGTTGGTTGGGCACGGGGCGGCATGAACTCGAATGTCCCCGGTGAAGAGTGATAAGGCGCAAAGGTAGGCGCTTGATTGTGTCGCCCGAACGATGAGTTGTCGAGGCTCATCGGCGCTAATCCCATGTTCCCTCCGTTGCTCTGTGTTGAATGTGCAGGCGTCCTTGTCTGCTGCTGCTGGTCGAAGTGCGACATGAAGCTGAAGAACCTTTCCATAAGGTTTGGATCCACGCTTGAGGAGGGTGATGGGGTCACCATTTCCGGTGTTCTTCCTGTTGTTTCTTGAGCAGCGCCGGTCTCGGTTTGCAGTCCTGAAGTATGCAATCCATAGTTGCCGGGTTGAATATCTTGGCGCTGGGTGAGCCCGTAGAGATTTTCTTGCCCTTGCTGTCCATGACTTGTAATGAATGAAGTCGTTGAATTGCAGATTGTGGATAGAGAGTAGTTGCTGGGAGTTTGGTCTCTGACCAGCTCTCATACTATGTTGGGCTGAGAAATGCCCTTAGGATCTTTCCAGAGACTAAGTCCCAGTTGTAGAATGAGACTTGAGTAGTGCAGCGGAAGTTGAGTGGTTGAACCCTTGTACTAGTATATGAGAACAAGTGATTGATTAAAGAAACAAGCATACAGCAATATATAGAAGATAAGAAAGTAGTTGTAGAATACAGTTGCAGGAGCGGTTATCAAGTCGCACAGCGACTCGATTGTCGCTTCGGTTACCATCCGCGATGTTGTAACGGTCAGTCGCAACCTCCAGTTGCAACCTTTCGAGTCCCTTCGCGTTCTTTGTCCAGCCCCTCGTGTAACCTCCGTTGACTCGCGTACCCGTTGCGATCTTCCTCGAGTGTAGTGTTACACTTCAGAAACGCTGAAGTCCTTTGAGATATTTCCAACAGCAGGTAAAGAATAATCCCAACACGAGTGTGCTCCTGAATCCTCATGCTCACACTTGTTATCTTGGTGGAAAGGGAAATATGTGTTGTACGTAATATGTACACAATGGCGGCTATTATTGAGGAAAATATATGGGCAAATAGTACCATACTACTTCTATTGTATTCTGATTGTTTTCAATACAAACAGGACTCTATCCATCTGTAAGGAAAACAAGTTTCCTTACTGTGCGTAGAACCTTGTGTTGAAGTATATGTCAAATATATGTTTGAAAGCTAACTAAACGAGGAAGTAGGGAAGCCCGCCATAAAATGGCGGGAGGGGTTTAGGTAGGAGAGAAAATGTCGAGAGAGAAGAGGATCTCGACTATAAGAGAATGGGGTACAAGAAGGGGGTTGTCCCCTCTACAATAGGATGCAGTTAGTAGCATAACTACCAAGCCTACAATTATATAAAATATAATTGAACAATATATACCGTATTTGCCCGGATTTATGACCCTCAAAATTGAATGCCCCAATACGGCTTATTTCCGACAGTTCTTTTAGGATGGTTTCTCAATGTTTAAACCCGTTCTTTTCGTTGTATATGAAAGATTTCGAGAAGGTGGTGTAGAAGACTACGTATAGAATCTGCAGACATAAGTACTTGAAGTTGAAAGTAATAATGGAAGTACCTTCAGTAACAGCTAGTATTAACAAATTGTAGCACCAGAGTCAGTGTTACAGCCTTGCGATACTTCTAGACTTAACCAAGGATCTTTGCTGGAATGATAGACCAGGGCTGACGTTTAAAAAAAAAAACCACTCTGAGCCAACCCCCCCCAGAAAAAAATTAGTCTGAAGGGCCTTCAGCCAAAATTTCGGTACTCTGAAATGTCAGAGTCCAGAACTAAGCTTGTCTGATTTTCTCAGAGTACAGCGAGTACAACCAGAGTTTAAAAAAATAGAGAAGGAAATTTACGTAACTTTTAAGGATATTGACGACGATGCCAGAGCATGAAAATGTTTTGGCCCCTAGACAGGGGGAGACGAAACAACTATTTTCTAATAGTCGTCCTTTTTAGGGATATTCTTGTCCGTTGCCCATTTGGTCAACCAAAACTCAATCAAACTTTGACGGCCTCGATCGGTTGCGATCGTTTCGATATGTTTCGACCATTCGATGGTCGCTAAAGATTGACGTCCAAGATCTCCCAACCGGGGCGCTTCAAGGACGCGAAGTTTCTCCCACCGCTCTATTCACCCAGCTTGCCCCCTCTCCCTACGGGTAGTTTTGATCCCCCCCTCCCCCTCCATTTTCGATCCCCCCTCCCCCTCCGTTTCGCTTCCCCCTTCCATCCGTTTCGATCTCCCCCTTTCCCCTCCATTTCGCTTGCCTTCTCTCCGTGCCCAGCTCATCCTCATATCTGTTATAGTTCTGTTTCTGACTTAGCCAAAATTTTGGGCTATTTGGGTTGGGGTGTTAGGGTGACTATGTCTGATAACGCCACTTAGCCGAAATTTTCGATATGTTGTGGGGTGTGTGGGGGATGTCTCTAGCGTTCGGGGACTTCGCCAAAATCTTCGATGGGTTGTGGGGTGTGGGGGGGATGTCTCTAGCGTTTGGGGACTTGGCCGAAATTTTCGATGGGTTGTGGGGTGTGTGGGGAATGACTCTAGCGTTCGGGGACTTCGCCGAAATTTTCTGGGTCCCAGGTAGAAGGTACATCTGGTTCAGGGTCTGTACGCGCTGTGCTCTGGAAACTCAGTACCGGGTTAGCAACAAGTCTGAAAATTTCAGGATCCCTAAATTCGTACTCTAAAGTGATCAGGATTGGAAAAATGGGTAATCTGATAATTCAGGTTTGGCCAGAAAAAGGGTCTGAAATTTCAGACTAATCAGACTAAATAGTATGATAAAATCAGCTTTGTGGTAGACTAGTAAGACAGCGGAAGTCTTAGAACTTGTAAAGTGTTGACCAGAATTTTCTTAAGAACAAGTTAATATTTGAAGTTGTACAAGCTACTTTTATATCTGCTAGAAGTACCTATTCGGTGATGTACCTATTCGAGCTATTTGTGCCATGCGCTCTAACTGCTACTGAAAAGAGCGCGACTGTTCGCGTGACCGAAAAGGCTTGCTGGCGTAACCATCCAAACGAGCGCTATTTGCTGACGTCATTCTACGGATGCTAACTATAGTGTAACTCGACAATATCTATCGGGATTACTTACATAAATACTTAAGTACGATTTTACCACAACACTCCCCTTCATTTATGGAAATCCGATAGTGTCACTTCTTGACAATTCCGCAGAGCTCGTTGCAGTATTGAAACTTCTGATGTGTCAGCTTCTTGGTGAGAAAATCTGCAGCCATTTCATTGGTCGAACAGTAGAACAATCGCATTCTCCCCTTCTCGACTTTATCTTTGACGAAAAAGTACCATAGCAAAATATGTTTCATCCTGTTGGCGAAACCAGGTTGATGCGCAATTCTGATTGCACTTTGATTGTCGCACTGCTGGGTGAACTGTGAACTTGTCGTCAATTTCGCCTCCTCCAATAGCTCTTGCAGATAGAGACCTTCGCGAGAAGCTGTGCAGGCAGCTATAAACTCGGCTTCAGCGGATGAAAGAGCTACTAGCTCTTGCTTAGTAGAATTCCACAAGATAGTTCGAATAGGCTCGAGGCGATAGACGAACCCGGTTCGCGATCGTCGATTAGTAGTTTGTGCTGTATGATCTGCATCGACGTACCCGTTAAGATATAAGGTTTTCGTAGTAGTAGCTTGATAGGTAAGTCCGACTTCAGGTGTCAAAATGAAATATTGCAGAGCGCGAAGAAGATCTAGCCGATTCTCCCCCTCAGGTCGACACAGAAATTGCGCGAGCTGGCTAGCGACGAAGGCGAGATCTGGACGACACGTTACAGCTGCGAATAGAAGACAACCCAGTTGCTACTGATAAATCTGTAATTCCGCGCTGTCGAGTGAGTAGTGTCCGGTTGATGATTAGCCGGTAGAGATCGATAAGGAGTGGTTACTGTCGAAGATGTAAGATTAAACCGTGTGGCTAGCGTAGTTGCATACTTTGAAGCGGTTAGATGAATAGCTGTTGCTGTTCGGTGAATGTTCAGTCCGAGAAACTGTGTGACTGTAGGGGCGATAGTAATCTGTAAGTGCTGTTGAAATTTCTGTTAGAAGATAGTAGCGAGAGAATCCGTAGTGCTAATATAAAGCAAGTCGTCGACGTAGGCGACGAGTATAATATAATCGGTACCGTCGGTAAGCAAGTACATTCCTTGGTCAGATGTAGATACTGCTGCCATAGTCGTGGTGCCTGTTTGATGCCATAGAGCGATTTTCCGAGACGGCACACGCTGGGAGGATTAGTCTCATAGAAATGTGGATACTCGACCATAATTAGTGCGTCGACAGGCGCATATAGAAAAGTGTTGGCGACGTCGATTCTTCAGGTGTACCACGAATTGCTGCTTCGGAGACAATGGGCATGGGCTGCTGTTGGCGGTCACGTTTGTAATCGAGTTCAACGTCGCGAACATCTTCAGGGTCAGCATCAACGAGTGGAATAAACTCTGCAGTTCCAGCTGACGTGGTTGGCACGGGGACGTCTGTGGCAGCTTCGGAGGATTCAGCCACGAACTCGTCCTGTACATCAGCTTCGGCATCGTCGGTGGCAAAAGCACGCGAGCCCTCGAACAACCTGGCAGGATTGGCAGCTGCTGCCTGGTGAGCACGAAAAATAGGTAAGGTTAGGCGTTCGTAGAAAAGACAATCCCGTGCTGCTACGATTTGACTCGTGCGAAGATCCATGATTTTCCACGAGTAAAACTTCTTCTCGATGCCAAGATGTATTCCCCACTTAGCCCGTTCCGAAAATTTGCCGAGTGCTGCTGTCGGAGGTCGATATTGAACGATGCACCCGAAAACTCTTAAAAGTTTTGTGTTGCCCCACTGTAGGTTTTTGTCCATTGTAGGTGTGGTGAAGAAAATTCCGGAAGAGAAGTTGTCGACAGCAAGTTGTGAAGAAGGACGGCGTGGTCCAACGCGTAAGTCCAAAAGTGAGGTGGTAAAGCTGCCTGAGTCAGCAGGACTCGCATCTTCTCTTGGAGAGTCCTGTTCATCCTTTCTCCTACCCCCATCTGTTGGTGTTGATGTGGCAGGGACAACCTGCGTTTGATTCCGAGGGTTTATTGGTAATCAGTGAAGGTTGTGTTCGTATACTCCCCTGCGCCATCACTCTGAAATTCTTGCAACTTCTCCTTTGATTCTCTTTCAGCCACCGCGAGCCACGCTACGAAGATAGCGTGAGCCATATGCCGAGCCAGTATGTTGACGCTCCAAACATAGCGAGTAGAAGCTTCGATAAACCAAATCATATATAACTCCCCCTAAGGTCCTGCTGCTGGTAAGTTTAGTATGTCGCTGTAAGCTTTCTGCATCAGTTTGTATCGAGTTGAACCCGGAAAGTGACTTGGAAAGGGTTCATGTGGAAGGTTTGCAGTGGTGCACGTGGTGCAGACTGCGGGTCGTGAAGACGGCTTCATTTCCGTTCCATCGGGTAAGAGTAAACTGCTTTTTATCAAGAATTGAAGCTCTGATTGTATGATTAAGGATTCCCGGGGAAGGATGCCCTAATATTTGATGCCATATATCTTCCGCTGCTTTGTGTCCTGTGGATCGCAGATAAAAATCGGCGTTAGTATAAAAAGAAGAAACGATGAAAGGAGAAATCGCTGGTGATTCGTCGAGTTTGCCAGGAACGAAGCGATTAACAGGTAAACTGTGTCGTTGTAATTGCCATTTCGAGTACTTCTTCCAGTTGAAGAACTAATTCCCCTTCCTCAATTTTTGTTTCCTGTAAATCTGTTGCAGGTTGACTGACGAGAATCCCTGTTTCTGCTTCACCGCTACTCTGCTGCTCTGCTTCCTCTGCTTCACTGCTGCTGCTGGATCCCCAAAGTGCTGTAGGTTTATTTTCAAGTTGTT